TCACTTTGCAGCAGGATATAGAGAGGTATATCGAGAAAGTTATAGCTCATAGCTCTCCTTCTGTTTAGTGCATTTACAAAAGATTACAAAGCAAAGTATTTTTTAATTAAGTTTTATTATTATAATTATATCATTTTTACAATTGAGGTCTCCTTAAACGACCTATGTATAGAATAAAGGAGGTTAAATTAAAAAAAAAAATAATACAATTTTTTTTAATTAAATTTTTTTTTTTACCATTAAATTATTGCATTAATATTTTTCTTTAATAAAACCAATATAATGTACCAAAAATGTTATTATATCACTATAACTAGGCCATTTATGTGTACTGAATGGGGTGGTAGAGGGCTGTAGGCACCCACGCCGGTACTGGTATTCAGCGTTTTAGAAAGAGAAATATATTCTCCAGATGTTTTACTTCAATACGTTTTGCGTTATTTTAGGCCGTTAATTACAAACGATACTTGATTTGTAACTTGACAATTTTTTTGTTAAAAAAATTGACTTTACTGGTGTTTTTCTTAGCCTAAGCCAATTATTTTTTAATAGTTCTTCATGTTTTATTATTTTATGACTATTCAGCTTTAATAAAAGACCAACTATGAAGAAATTAAGCTAAATGCTGATTCTCAGTGACCAAAAAACTAACTAAAGTCAAAGTCGTCAATCCGCCATCTTTGGACGCCATTTTGGGGCAGTGCGTTCACTTTTTTTTGTGGGAACATTGGTTTTTTTTTTTAATAAATAGTTACAAGGAACACAATGATATGCAATTTATAGGGATGTGGGGGGAGGAAGGGGGGTGCGCGGTAAGGAGGTCTGGCCCACAGACTAACACCGCTTTGGTCTACCCCTCGGACGCTTGCCAATCGATCCATCGCATATTAATTGTTCAGGAATTCTTTCATTACTAAACCCAGCGATTTAACATGTCCATTTTATAAACCTCAACTCAATCACCTCAATTATATTAACCGGATACAGTTCACGCAATTCAGCGTTGTGTAACCGCCTAAAGTCTCCGAGCATAACAAGCATTTCCCGCCTTCAACCTAACCTTAATATCCTCTTCTAAATCATTACCCCATTCCCTTGTTCCTTCCACTCCAACTGATGCCATTCAATCAACTTCCGTAGTCCTTTCAACTCGCCCTTTCCATCTCACATTCTCAGCTGTATACTGTCCTCCTGGTAATTCCCTCTCCTATAACCTCCTTGATTCCTTATTCAAATCCCTCGGATCGCGCTTCAGTGCTGGAGGGGACTACAATGCTAAACACCAACGATGGGGTTGTCGAACATCCAACCCCCGCGGTAACATCCTATCACGTGTTTCATCTTCCAACAATTATTCAATCCTTTCGCCCATGAGTCCTACTTATTGGCCAACATCCCTCAAAAAACGTCCCGATATCCTAGATATATTTATAACTTCTCAGATCTCCTCCTCACAAACCATAATCAAATCCCTTGATGACCTTTCTTCAGACCATAGTCCAGTTCTACTTTCACTACATTCGAGCTATGCTCCTAAACCGTCACCTCCTAAATTGATCACAGGACGAGTGAACTGGGACCAATTTCGTGATGATTTGGAAAACAAACTAGACTTAAAAATTCCGCTAAAGACAAAAGAGGATATTAATGGTGCCATTGAAAAACTGACAGCATCAATAACAGACAGTATAAATAATAACACTTTTATCAATAAGTTCAACAATTCACAAATGACTGACTTGCCACAGCATATTCGTATCTTATTGAAGGAAAAACGCAGAGCAAGATCGAAGTGGCATAGAAACAAATATCCAACAGATAAAACTCACTATACCCAACTGACTAACAAACTAAAATCTGAAATTAGAAAATACAAAATTCAAAATTTACTAAACTTTACTGAAAAACTTACACCTACCGACAAATCACTATGGACGACCACTAAAAGGCTCCTGAAATTTAAAGACTGTAATCATCCACTTCTTACTGAAGCTCAAACCTGGTCCAAATCCGACGAAGAAAAATCACAAATCTTTGCTCATCACCTCTTTAAAACCTTTAATCCACTCCCTGATATTCTTAACCCAAATCACCTTGAATGTATTGAAGCAGAACTGGATATCCCACTCCAAATGTCTCTTCCACCTAAAGCCTTTCATCCTTCAGAAATATCCGACATCATTCAAAGGTTACCTTCCCGAAAAGCTCCTGGACACGACCTAATTACATCCCAGATCCTAAAACTGCTTCCTCGGAAAGCCATCCTATTCCTTACGTATATATATAATGCTGTTCTGCGAACCACATACTTTCCTAACCCTTGGAAATTATCTATTATCAAAATGATACATAAACCCAAAAAGCCACCAGAAAACCCATCCTCTTATCGCCCTATCTCCCTTTTACCCATCCTAGGCAAAATCCTGGAAAAGCTCATCCTAAAACGCCTGCACCCCATCCTAGATTCTAATCACATTATCCCAGATCATCAATTTGGATTCCGCAGATCCCATTCCACTATCCAGCAATGCCATCGTGTGGTGGATGTTGTCTCCTCTGCATTGGAGCGCGGAATGTACTGCACGGGAGTCTTTCTCGATGTAGAACAGGCTTTTGATCGAGTCTGGCACCCAGGACTGCTTTACAAACTCCGTAAATTCCTACACCCTACATACTTCCTCATTATCCGTTCCTATCTAACTGATAGATCCTTCAAAGTAAATCATAATAATGCCTATTCATCCCTTTTTTCCCAGTCCGCTGGTGTTCCTCAAGGTAGTATCCTAGGTCCTATCCTTTACACAGTTTATACAGCTGATATCCCAACCCATCCTAACACTGTTATTACCACGTATGCCGATGATACATGTGTCCTATCAATTAATAACGACCCAACAATTGCATCCCAAACCCTTCAATCACACATCACAAACCTTGAAGAATGGTTTCAAAACTGGAGGATCAAAATAAATTCCAATAAATCCCATCAAATCACCTTTACCCTTCGTCGTAAACCTATGTCCTCTTGTCCTACAGTATCCTTTAATAATCCCCCTCTTATCCCTGTTGAACAAATTCGATACCTTGGACTCCACTTAGACAAACGTCTAACTTGGAATCCTCATACCAGACTGAAACGACAAGAAACAGCTCGACGTTTCCGACTACTCCAGCACTTACTAGACAAACGCTCTAAGCTCCCAGTCAATTACAAAAGATTCGTATACATGACTACAATAAGACCTATTTGGACTTACGGAATTGAGCTCTGGGGCTCCACTAAGCCATCGAATTCCTCTCGCATCCAATCCTTACAATCCAAAATCCTTCGTAAAATCCTCACAGCTCCTTACTTTGTCACAAACAAAATCATCCATAACGACCTTAATTTTCCTTATGTTTCTGACCTGGCCCAATCCAGATACCTTTCCTTCCATAATAAACTTCAGAACCATCCTAACCCTCTCGTTTCTAACCTTGCTTCCTTTTCGATACCTGACAACCCTCCGAGGCGTCTGAAAAGAAGATGGCCTCGAGATCTCCTTTTGTAAATACATTTTTAGAGTGCTACCACTGGGTAGTTTCTCACCAAATGATTTCATGCTACTATATTCTATTGTACACATTTACTGAATGTATTTTTACTTGTAATACAGTTGTAAATATCATCAATAAATAAATTAAAAAAAATAAATAAATATCCTCTTCAATTTCGTTTTTCTAGTTATCGTAGAACCCTAGATACCTAAAATTCTGTTCATGTTCAAACACATTCCTTTTTATATCGATATCATCGAAATTGTCGCTGTTTTTGCAGCTAACTATATATTTTGTTTTGTCCATATTTATCTCGAGTCCTAGTTCTTTACCATCTTCCATCAACGTTGTTGTATTTAGTTTTATTGTCTCCATGTCTTCGATTAACAGTACCAAATAATCAGCATTCCCAATCACGGATATTGTTCCACCCAGTTCAAACCTGTTTGGGTATGTTTTACCTCTCTAATGACATGTTCTAATACCAAACTAAATAGCACAGGTGAAAGAGAATCACCTTGTTTTAAGATCGAAAGAATCTCTAATTTCTTGGTTAAACAATAACCGATTCTACTTTTATAGAGTGTTTCCGTGAAGCACATCCTAACTAAATTCACTAATTTTTTGGAGATCCCTTGTTCGATTAGAATAATACATAGTTTCTGGTGGTCAATAGAATCGTAAATTCCTCTTACTAAGTACTACAAAAAAATATGAGAAACATTATTTCTCATTGGTCAGTATTTATGAAGTTATTAGGGGTAACATAACTAAAATCAAGAAAATATCGCTTCATTGATGACAAATTGATCAATTTAGTTTATATTTTTTTTTATCAGGTGAACGTCGATGGAATCTAAAACAAGCATCCTTGCCGATTATATTAGTGCTTTTGGAATTCAAGAACGATGGTTTTTGACTGAAATATGAGGAAAAACATAAAATAAGACAGAAAGTACTCAATGGCCATCTTTCAAACTCCATTTTGGATAGAAGCAGACATGGGATTTTAGGGTACTTTTCATGGTTTGTTCGACATTCTAAAAGGAACTAATTTCCACATTTACAACCAATTATGACTTTTATTGATATCAAATCCTAAATTTACTGAGCTATTAAAGTTTAACATTATAAAATCAACAGAAATAATTTAAAATTCATATCCTGGCAAAATAGCTACATTGCCGCCGAAAACCGTGTATTCTCTTTCTGTTCCCTAGTTTGTTGTGCATTCTTTCCGAATGCACTTCTTGAAAACGCTGCGGGACAAATTGTTAAAAAGTGGGAGGTCTAATCATCTTACCCTAGGGGGTATTCCTTTTAACTTAGAAAACATAAAACTATATAAGATCCCTTAGTTCTTAACGAACCTCTTTGGACCCAAAATAGGAAGATACACAAGAAGGTTATATTTACGTTTGGCAACTCAATGTTATTATTTACATTTGGAGATTGATTCTATAATGGCATTTGTCAATTCTTCTGGAGAATCTTCTGAAACGCGAGTCTCATTTATGAAGGGTAAGTTTCTTGAATAATCTATAACTTAAGCTTCTTTGAAGGACGAAACAGATGCTTTTCCCACCTTCAAATTCTTCCATGGGAAGAAACTTTTATAAAAAAGAAATGTGCTTGTTCTACCACGTTATTTTCTCAACCTTCCATAATATTTTGTGTTAAACTTTGGGAGAAAGCATCATAATAATAGACTTTCAATGAATATTCTGAAGTATTTCTGAATATTCTTTCTCAAAACTCAATTCAATTGAAGTTGGTTTAAAAGTTTTTACAGAAGAGACAAACCATAAGAGTGGATGTAGGTGGTACATCTATGATTTGTTACCAGATTAAATCAATATGTGCTATCTGATAATTAAATGAGAAGAAGAATTAATAGTTAAACTAAAGTACTCTTCAAAGCGTCAAAAAGCTCAGTTCTGATATTCCATTTCAAAGTAAAATTTTCACTATAATTTGTTTTGTTTTATAGAAATTCAGCTAATGATGTATGGACTAGGCGATTGCTCAAAACCCTTAGAGACAACTGCAACTTTAGTCGAAACAATTGTTTTGGACCAGTTAAAGAGGCTAATGATTCAAGCTGAAGAAATAGCTGAAATGAGAGGAGAGGAAATTGTCGGCCCCGAAGATATATTATTTCTGATGAAAAGAAATGAACCAGCACTTAAAAGACTTATTACTTATCTCGGTATTGCAGTTGTGTGTTTATGTACAGTGAACTATTTTAAAATTTTGTTCTACAAAAATACTTTTACTAGGTATTAAGGATGAGAAAGCTATTTTAAACAAAGCTCTTCAAGAACTAGTAGACATCGATTTCGAAGATCAAATGATGATGGAAGATGAACCATCACAGCAGATTCAGTGGAAAAAAACAAGGTATATATACTCAATTTTATTTTTTACTCGAGAGATAATTCATAGCTAACATGCAAATGATTTTTTTCACCAGTTTGTTAAGGGCTTTTTATTAATTTTGAAAATTTGAAGGATTTATAATATACATCACATCATATAATATACAATGTGATAAAAATATTTTCAATGTAACTAGTTTACTTCAAGGTCCAATCATTCTAATGTTTGTATGTAATTATAGATTTTTTTTTTTAAGGAAAGGTTATTGCTTGGAATTTTTGAAAACCATAGGAATCGAAGAAGCTGATCTTGATATGACTGAAGATATTGTTAAAGAAACGAGACAAATACGTGCCAACAACAAATCAATGGATATGTCATCTACGTATGTTATTGGTTGATTTTTTTTTTATTTCTTAAGAAACATCATAAATTTATCTTAATAAACTAACTGTATCAACACCTTATGTTTTATCTGTATCTTAGTATGTTTTATTGATCTGGAGTTGGTGAGATTGACTAAGGCGTGTTCAAATGACCCTAAATGTAGAGTCATAATACAAGGAGAAGTATCTGGTGCCTTCAAACTTGGAATGGGCTTACGGCAGAGAGATAGACTATCACTGATGTTATTCAACTTAGCCCTGGAAAAGGTAGCAACATCACAGGAAAATGGAGGGGTCCACGTCTGAACGAATCATAAAATCCTTGGATACGCAGATGATATAGCTGTCCTTGGAAATAATCAAGAGAACATTAAAAAACTTGCTAAGACCCTGATAAGAGAGGCAGAGCAGATTAGCCTACAAGTAAATGAAGACAAAACAAAATATATGATAATAAGCCGAAAATTTCACCCCAATAACCAAGATCTGTGTAGAAAAGAAAATCATTACCGAGAGTAGAAAAATTCAAATACCTCTGCTCCACTGTAACTTCAATGAATGACCAATGGGCAGAAATAGACCAGCTTATAATTAATGCGAACAGAGCTTTCTTATCCCTTTCAAAAGTTTTGAAATCCTTAAAAATCTCATGAATTCTCAAATTAAGAGTGTACAATGCTATGATAAAGCCAGTTCTAATATAAGGCTGTGAGACCTAGACATTAACTAGCACCCTAGAAAAATGTGTTGAAAGATTTGAGAGAAAAATCCTCCTACGATAACTGGAGCGATCTGGGATAAGAGTACTAACACAAGGAGAAGAAAGACCAATAAGGAACTGCTTACAGAAACTGGTCAATCAATATCCCACGATATGAAGGCACGGAGGTTAAGATAGGCATGTAGCTCTTAGCAATGCATCTGGAAGCCTTTACATAACAATGAATGCCTATAGAAGGCAAAAGAACACGTGGAAGGCCAAAAAGCAGATGGTTAGATAGAATCAACAAAGATGCAAGAGCTTCGTGCAGATAGATGGAAAGAAATAACCTAAGACAGGCAGAGATGGAGCAAAATTAATCTTGTTAAGGCGGCCAAAGATATACATGGTCTGTAATGCTAACAGAAATTGAATTGAAAAAATTGATCTTAGGAATTATAAGTGTATATTATCTGTGTATGTACTTTATCTGTGTAGTTTTTTTCTTTTATATTTATTGAGGTTATATTACTTTAGTGTTCACATAATCTGTTATGCTCCATCCTGTTGTCAAAATTGGCAACATATATCACAACAAATATCACACAATTAAAAATCAAATTAAAATTTAGACTTTGAACTATATAATGCAGTAGCTAGTTCAATAGAGATTTATAATTTTTAAATAAATACTTTTTTCATTATAACTTATAACTTGATTTTAGGGCATACCAAGAATTTCATAAGGCTCGATGTGCATCATTTAGTTCCGCACAAATTTGTTCACAAAAGTTCCTAGATTGGCTTAGACAAGGAGGAATTGAGCAGACACTTACGACGCCTGTAGCTGAAATTTTAGTTTATTTAGCTAAAGAAACAGTAGCAAATATTGTTGATATGGCATTGATTATCAGGGAAGAAGCACCAGTAAGTCTGAATTTGTATTGAATTAAGAACATTATTAAAGCTCTTGCAAATTTCTAGTCAACAAAAGATCTAGATTTTACAAGAATTTTTCTCTAACCATTCTTAATATTCTCTTTACTCGGAATGAGATACTCACTTAGACTTTCTCTTTTGATTTCTAATATCAGCCTAAATATATATATTTTTTTTTTCATCATTAGTAATTTGATAAGAAAGATAGACACTGCTTCAATTGATGTAACACTTTCCAAAAATCAAAAACCAAAACAAAGGATATAAGCTTTGCAATAAAACATATATCATATCTTTAAAATACCATGTCTTAGCATCAAATCATCCGATTTCAACAATTTTTTAAAGAAAATTCTATTAACTTTTTAATTACCTAAGTGTATACTTTTTGAGTTAATTTTTACCTCATAACTTTTTTCCCCACTTCTTTTTGTTGAAGTATGTTATATAGATAAATTAAAAGGGTATTGAGATTTTAGCCAAGTTTCATTAATATCGGTACATCCGTTCAGGCACTACAGTCTATACGACACAGATCTTTTGGCAACCATCTTGAAAGGAAAGTACTTGAACGTACTTCTACAGTACTACAGTACTTCTACGTATCCTGAAATGTAAAACCTCAAATTTTGAGAGGGGATTAAGTTTTTAATATATTAGTCTATTACAATGATTCATTATTGAAAATAATAAAACCAAATATCTGAAAGAGTATTTAATTTAGAACAATTAACATCCTTTTGTGGGATGGGTGGCCGTTGCTGGGGGAGTCTTTTAAATTCCCGCTCACACCTCCTGGCCTGGGAAAATCCCATATAGCCTTAACGGCAAGGAAGAACAATTAACATTATTTTAGCTTACTAAGATTACAGCGCTGTTGAATTTAGGTTACTTACGCTTATCCAAAGAGGGAGACTATAAATTAATCATATGATAGTAAATGTTGCTTACAGATAAAGCATAGAATCTCCACCATAGTTCATTCTAGACACTAGTAAACTATGAGTTAACTAAAAAAAAAAAATATCTTTGTTATGTTTTTCACCTCTGAAAATTTTAAGCCATCTTAACAAATTTCCCAGACCATGATCATGTAAAAGGATTTTCTCGAGGCTTGTGTCTATAGGTGATCCATTCTCTGATGATTTTTCAGTATAAATCAAAGACAGTCGATAACCGCTAGTGTCCTTTTTAGACATTTGTCTAAAAGCTGTTGAATGTAATGGTCAACTGATTTAGATGAATTTTGTTTATCTACCACCTTAATTTTATTTTGTTTCCTTTTAAAATTACAATACGTTAGAGCAAATGTGAACACTGATACAATTAAGTAATGGTGTGTGCCCGCGAGTAAAGAGTGGCCGCGTCGCTTTAAATTTACTTTTTTTGTAACTTACTAATTTTTTTTATTATAATTTATTTATTAATTACTATTTATTATTATTTTATTTATATATTAAGTAATGTTTTTAGAATTATGAAAATACATGTTCACGTTGTTTTGAGAAAATATTACTCTTTGATACAAAAATTCATAATTAATGTAATTACTTATCTTTTGTGGCATGGTTACTTGGTAAATAACAACCTAATTTTACCTTAAATTATCAACTTGCTTATCCGATTCAGAATTAGTTTATAGGGATAATCCACAAATAGATATTTAGTTGTGAACTTGTAAAAAATAATAGAATTTTTCTATGCTAAATTCATAATTAGCCAGTTTTGTAGTTTCCCAATATCAAGCCCACAATGTCACTGATGAGTTAAAAATTGAAATAATTATGACTTGTGTTTATCATCATTATCAATAAGGCCATAGAAAGGAACTTATCAACCAAAAGCAAAATTTTCATTCAGTTTCAGATGACTGAACCTTCACCAATAACACCTTCTGAAATTCAAGAAATTGTTAGGAGATGCATGTATCAACAGACACTACCGTTCGCCGGCTTCTCCAGAGATCTTCCTAGAACAGCTGACAAAAAAATATTTACCTTGTAGTTTTTTATTTATTTATTTTAACAAAATAAATGTATATTTATTCCTGTTTTTTAATAATTAAGTTTGTTAATGAACACTAGTATTGTAGTTCCCCTTAAAGTTTAATTACTGATCACTATATATATAGCATATATTTTAAGTTTCGCTTTTAAAGATATATTTGTAATTGTAAAAACTAAAAATAATTATATAATCAATAATTCATAAATATTTGGCTACATGTTAAAATGTCTGGCTCTGAAAAAGATAATACTACTGTTATTTATTAAATAATAATCTATTGACAGTAGTAGTAATTCAATTTGACTCATACTTAAAATTGCTTTGGAATATTTAAGTTTTCAGAATTGTTTAAACCTAACATTAAAATTAAAGTGATATTTAAATAGTTTCATTGAATAATTTGTTACCAAAAAGTTTTCTTGGATTTAAAAGGCCAATTATAAACTGTAAATTGTAATTATAATATATAAACAATTATTTATTTTTATCTCCTATTTAATTGATAAGTCCAGTTAATTAATAGTTTTTACGTAAAATAAATATGAGTTATTCTGATTTTTGCATGGACTAAAAAAATTGTTGAACCCTGCTCTGGGTCTTTGGTTTTTACCCGCTGACAGGTGAGTGAAAAGCAGGCTGGCTATATATGTGCGAAGGATGAACTCGTACATTTTTACATATATTGTATATAAACAATACAGTATATGGGAAAACTTTGTAATTTGGTTTCTATTTCATTCATATTCTATTGGTAGCTATTTCATTTTTTTTTTATTATTAACAAAACACAGAATTTGTCGATACAAGTAACTCAATTTCTAATACTATGATTATGCTTGAAAAGTCCTGAATAAAATAAATTGATCCAGCTTTGGGCAGGCACTAAGATCTAAGAAGGGGAAAACTCCATATAGCCTAAAAGGCAAGGAAGGATAGAACAAGAAAAAAAAAAAGATGTTTTGAAACTATGCTCCTGTTCGTGGAGTTCCAGGGACCGGAAGCCAGATGAATAGAGATGTTCGACTGAAAAATACATTCCATACCTGAAAAAGAGGAAATTTATAAAGGAATGTGGGGAGAGAAATTTTTTGTTTTTTCAGTACAAGAACTTTGGTTTGGAAGTTGAGGAGCAATTCCTCTTTCAGCTGCAAGTTTTTTGGAAAAGCTAGGTGTTGAAAGAAATGAGATACAGAGTATGGCGGAGTACATTATTTTGGACTCATTGGGAATCCTGCACCATCATCTCTATTAAATTAGATCATTGCTTTATGGATCCGGGTGACGGAATTGAGAAGAATGAAGATGAGAAAAGAGAGGAAACAACAAATGACATTTTTATATAAGAAGTGTATCAAAACACAGTTGAGCAGCATTACAATTCTATTGTAGCTCTTTCAGCTAGTGTTGTAGAATGCTAACACAGCCATAACTTATAGGTTTTTTACTATTTTTAATAGTATTTTTCTTGTGGGTCAAATAGTATTTTAAAAATATTGAAAGAAACTTGTAATTGGCTTTTCTCAAAAATCAAATGAATGAAATGGATATTTGATATGAGCTAAAATTAAGCACACGTAGATTAATGATAAAGTTACAGCTTTTTTCACACTTAAAGACAAAATATATTTTTCTACAAAACCACTTATGTAATACAATATGAGGTAGTGAGTGGCAGGATGTCAAGTAACAATATCCATATAAATGATAATAGATGGTGAGGTGAAAGCTAGAGATGTTATGGAATGGTACCATACATCGTATTCGTTCTCCAGTTCCATGAGCGTATTAGGTTCTCTTAACCATACCAGTTCCAAACAGTTCAGTGTGTCAATTTGCTTAATCTTCTCATTTCGCATCCTCTATCTTATGTATTGACATAATTAGACGATTTAGAGAGAAAAATATATTAAATAATAGAGATAAAAATAAACGTTAACTATAGTAAAACTGCATACTCCTGGTTCAGTGGCTGGAGAACTACGATAATCTGGAAGTCCTATGAAGCGAGAAAAAAAAATTAATTAGTGTAAAACTGCATGCTACTAGTTCAAAGGCTGGAACCACTATGATGATCTAGAAGACCTAAGGAGAGAAAAATAGAAGTTAAGTATAGTAAAAATGGATGCTGCTTTTCTTATGATGGCTGCTTCGGTGTCTGGAACCACTAGGATGAACTGGAGAGACCTAAGAGATTAATATTGGGTTGGCAAATAAGTCCTTTCGATTTTTCAGGGTGAATAAAACTCAATGAATTATATACATAAAATTTATTTTAATCTACAATACATTGACCGTTATTTAATATGCCAGACACTAACATGTAGCCAAAGATTTATGAATTATCGATTTTATAATTATTTTTAGTTTTTACAATTAAAAATATATCTTTAAAAGCAAAACTTAAAATATATGCTGTATATTACTGATTTGTTTAATAGTGATCAGTAATTAAACTATCTTTCCACTAACTGCATGCCATGTTCATAGAATGTCTGGAGTTTATTGATAAAAAACTGATCCCAGTGGTTTTTGATATCCTCTTCCTTTTGGAATTTCTTTCGATTCATGGAATTCTGCAGAGACCGGAATAAGTGGTAGTCACTTGGAACTAGGTCTGGTGAATAGGGAGGGTGGGGCAAAAGATCCCATCCAAGGCTCAATAATTTATTGCCAGTGACCAATGAGGTGTGGGGAGACCTAGCGTTATCTTGGCGGAACACAACATCCTTCTAGTCATACATGAATCTTCAGGATGTTCTCCAAATTCAATGTTACTATATCTGTTGAAAAGCTGAATTATTGCTCTTCAAAGCTGTATGAATGGTTTTTTTTTTATTTAAGGCCTGTATAAGGAATAAATAAACAAAACTCCTTATAGGTTTTTATTTTTTATCTCCCTCTGTAGTTTGTTTACGAAGGCCTGTTGATGTAATTTTATGTAGCTTATGTGGCCCTAAATTACTGCTAAATTTCTTGTAAATAGCTAAAGTTGTATTGAAGTTACAGCATTTTTTGTCATTTTTGAAAAAAAAAAAATCATGAGGGACCAAACATTAAACCTGGAAACATAGCTGAGCTTGTGCAAATAGTTGTCTACGCTTATGTCTGACACATTTAGGGCCATAGTAATCTCTCGCTCTGATTGGGTGGGATTTTAATCAACAATAGCCTTAACATTGCTTGTGTCAATTTCATATGGGCGACCAGACTATTGAGCATCATTGATGTTAATATTTCCTGATTGAATTTGGCAAACCAATTTTGACAGGTGTGTTCGGTTAAGGCATCATCCCCAAAAACACTACACTTACAGAAAAAAAAATGTTCCTATTAGCTTCGGAAGCACGCTTACCTTTTTAAAAATAATACAACAAAATATGCCAATAATAAATAATATTATCTTACATATTCACAGTGCAATAGCAAACACAATACTAAGCTAGTTTCAACAAGAATGAAGAGATATAGTTGTTGACATATTACAAACAGGATAAACAATTCACTTAGGGATTAATTCATCAGATAAGAAGTGTATAATAGTGACATAAGAATAAACACATAAACCGAAAGGACTTATTTGACAACCCAATTGTTGAAGAGACAGTTGTACAGCAAGAGATATATACAAATTTGATTGTTGGGATATTGTGTTTATGGAGTGTGAATGATTTCAGTTCTATCTCAGGTAGAAAGGAAGAAATAGGAGAACCAAACAAATAATTCTGGAGGTATGGCAGCAACATCATAGCCTCTGGAGTAGCACCCTCATCCAGGATGGTTTTGTTGTTGTGTACGATGCATTCGCTTGTGTCAGTGTCTTCGAATTTTTCGTGTACTGTTCTGGTGAGTTTGCATGGTGTACTGAGCGGGGGTAACCCGTGGGCACTGCTCCCCAAGTTCCTACATGCAACAGACACACCTTACGGGATTTATAAGTAATGTACGGTATTTATTTACAATTAGATTATTAAAAGTAAAATAATTAAATGTACCACCCACAGTAGCCTTTTACAGAATCGGTTAGCATTTCTTAATTTAGAGTATAATTCGTGTTTTCAAGACAAAGCGTTTTTATCTATCAGCTTCATTTATTTACCAGATAATGAAAATAGATTATAAGCTGAAAATTAAATAAATGAGTCCCAAATACCCCTTCAATTGTTCTACTACTATTAAGGGGTTTTGAGAATAATAATCCTAACAAAGCAGTCTAAACAGAACATACCCCCTTTCTAAAAATAAGTAAAATAAATTAAAAATTTTAAATTCTCTTCTTTATTTAAACATAAAGTAATTAAATATGTATCAATATGCATTATTATAAAACAGCATACTATACAAAGTGGTAGTGTGTACTACAAAAAGATCTAGTAGTTTCTGATAAATAAAGAAAGGAACAAGATAGTGTTTAAAACAAGACAGAGCCCTACTGTACCAACAAAAAGACAGCTGTCGGAACTATTATCTAGAAATAATAAAAACATTTACATTTAAATTATATTAGTACCAGTCCGTAGCGAAAAGAGAAAGTTAAAATAGATTATAACTAGAAAATGAAATTTATGAGTCCCAAATACCCCTTCAATTGTTCTACCACTATTAAGGGGTTTCGAGATTTTAAACAGAACATACACTATAATACAGCATAAATACACGTTATAATAAAAATGGTAACAAAAAGGCATGCAATAGTACTCACATGTTTTTATTGGCGATTCAACAAAGTTCTCCAACTCACTCATAAGTGTGCCTGCCAAATATGTCTGAATAACTTTATAATTTAAAAATTATAACCAATATTATGAAAAAAAAACAAACATATTTATCAGAAATAGATTAATAAATTTAAGTAATTTTTCAGTCTGAATAAAATTATTTTAGTTTTTGGCAAATATTCATATTTCCAATAAACATATTGATATTCCCTTATTGACTGAATTATTTTAATGTAAAGAATTTTTTTTTTTAAATATTTAATGAGAAAAATTGTGTGTAAT